CAGCCTCATCCTCTGCACTGAGAGGTGCTGGAAGATGTGGGTGAGCTGGCACCTTGGAGCAAAGGGAAAGGCTTTCTGTTGGGCACCACCAGGCCCTGCTGACCCCAGAGGATGCAGTGCTGTCAGATGAGCTGAACCACGCCTCCATCATCGATGGGATCCGCCTCTGCAAGGCCAACAAGTACCGCTACAAGCACATGGACATGCAGGACCTGGAGGCCAAGCTGCAGGATGCACAGGTACAGAGGTCTTCTCCCATCCCAAGGTGGTGCTGCTCCCTACAAATAACCCCCCCGAAGGTGAGCTCTGCCTTTTCCCATGCAGGAGGTAGCACTTTTGCTGACAGGCACGGGGAGCCGAGGTGGGGAAGCAGCTGGTTGCAATGCAACCCCCCCAAATATCTCAGTTAGCTTCACCCCCAGCCCCCCTCCTCAAGGTGACATCCTCTCCTCAAGGTGACATCCTTACCCCTGGGGACGCTGCTTTTCCTCCCACAGAAACATCGTCTGCGGCTGGTGGCCACTGATGGTGCCTTCTCCATGGATGGTGACATTGCCCCCCTGAGGGAGATCTGCCAGCTAGCCCAGAAGTATGATGCCCTGGTCTTCATTGATGAATGTCATGCCACGGGCTTCCTGGGACCCAATGGCCGGTAAATGGGTGTTGTAACCTGGTTTCTCCCCCCAACCTAGAATACCTTCTTGAAGGCTTCACACCCCCCCTCTGTCTCAGCCCTCCCCTCCTGAGGATATATCCCTGTTGGGGCAAGTGAGGAGATGGAAGTGGGATACTCTAGCACTGACCCATCCCAATGTGACAGCTGCTTCTTGGTGTGCAGAGGGTGGTGTGACCTTCTCCTCTGCCTCTCCTGGCAAGCAGTTGGACTTCCTGATTTGTGAATCCTTCTCCTCTCAGACTCCAGTTTCAAGTGTTTTGGTCTTGGGGGTTCTGTGGTGTTAGCTTGCATGGATTGATTGATTCCCTCAGAGCAGCTTTTCTCTCCGTCCCCTGGAGATCCTCCAGGTGCCAAGCAGTGGACTTGGTGCAGGTGTTTGCCAAGAAGAGATGCTTCATGTGCTTGTTTGTTAAGACATGTGACCGTGGCACAGTCCTTCCTCCTCTCTATTGGGAGGTAGAGACCCATGTGAGGCAACACCTGCAGGAACAAGCAACAGGTCCCTCCTCAGATGGAGGGATAGTGCAGGAGATGATCAGGCCAAAGCCATCTCTGAAAAAGCCAAAAATTGCTCTATGAACAGCTCCCTTCCAGCTCTCTCCTCTCTAGACAGATATCCTGTGGGAAGCTGGCACGTCCACATCAAGCTGTGAAATGGGTGAGAAGGGGGAATTAAGCCAGAAGACTTGTTTTCTCACCAAGGCCATGGCAAATGTTTCATCCTGGACCAAAAAGGTGGTGCAAGAGGCTGCCTTTAAGAGAAGGGATGTCGCTCCTGGTGGCACTTCATCACTAGCAAGAGAGGCTGTGCTGAGCTTTAGTATATTCCTAACCTTGTAGTCCCACTGAGCTTTCTCATATTTAAGTCTTCATAAGGAAGAAATCCTTATGGGCTGTTTTTCCCTGGTGTATGCCAGTGGAGTGGCATCTCAGAGGCATGGGCAAGAGCTGCAGGGGCGGCTGACGCTCTCTTTGGACTATTAAGCTTCTGTGGAGGAAGTTTGAGCTCTCTCCCATCTGTAAAGGATGAAGAACTCATGCTCTTACTTTGGGAGATGCCAGCTTAGCCTTTCTGCAGGAAAAGGGAAGGTCAGCACTTGGGATGAACTGCCACAGGGTGGGGTTCTTCCTTTACCAAAAGAGATGTGGCCGGTAGCACTTTGTTGCATAGGATCATAGAATGGCTGAGGTTGGAAGGGGACCCTAGAGATCATCTCATCCAGCCTCCCTGCCGTGGGCAGGGACACCTCTCAACTAGACTGGGTTGCTCAGGGTCTCATCCAGCCTGGCTTTAAACACCTCCAGGGAGGGGCATCCACAACCTCTCTGGGCAATCTGTTCCAGAGTCTCACCACCCTCGTACTGAAGAACTTCTTCCTAAGATCTAGTCTAAACCTGCACTCCTTCAGTTTAAAACCATTTCCCCTTGTCCTGTTGTGTCCTTTGAGACGTCAGGTGTAGAGAAGCTTCTCTGGTGTGTGCTGGTACAGCTGATAACGTGACATGCCATTTTCTGCAGGGGTACTGATGAGCTCCTGGGAGTGATGGACAAAGTCACCATCATCAACTCCACCCTGGGAAAAGCTCTTGGAGGAGCTGCAGGTAAAGGCATCTTCCTGTCCAAGGCCCTCCATGCCCTAAAGAGCTCAACAGCACCACTGTCATGTTTCCTTCCTCTGATGGAACAAATGCATGTTGTCCTCTTTTGTTGTGGTGGCATGAGGCTCATTTTGGGACCCTGCTGCAGGGTCAAGGGAGGTCCTGCCGCAAGCTCCTTCCACTGTCATCTTCCCTATGCATTTCCCTTTGGGGTCAAGGCTCTGGGTAAAAGGCATCAGCTGTGATCTCAACAGCACCACTGTCATGTTTCCTTCCTCTGATGGAACAAATGCATGTTGTCCTCTTTTGTTGTGGTGGCATGAGGCTCATTTTGGGACCCTGCTGCAGGGTCAAGGGAGGTCCTGCCGCAAGCTCCTTCCACTGTCATCTTCCCTATGCATTTCCCTTTGGGGTCAAGGCTCTGGGTAAAAGGCATCAGCTGTGATTTTTCTAG